ATGGCACAAGAGTCAAACACTACTCTGATCTGACCCGGCTTCCTGGGGTGGTATACTCCAGGTGTATTGGTAGGTACCAGCGCTCCTCAGAGTCTTTAAGAGTGAAGGCTATCTCTGCATTCTGACCATTCTCAAAGATGTTCTCCATGAAAGAAAAGAAATGGCCTCTCACCTCCGGCATTCTTTATAAATTACGTTGAAGAGAAGAGAAACGCCTTTGTATTTGTTCTCTGTTATTAGGTCAGCGTTGCCTCTGAAGGGAAGAGGTGCAACCCATCTTCTTTGACTAGTCTCTGCTCCATTACTTCCAAGAAGAGTTTGTCCTCAGTAGATATTACCACTTGGTTGTCCTCTTTTGTTCTTTGAAAGACTGTGCACCCTAAAAGGTCTTGGTCACTGTCACAGGCAAGGTTGTCACTAGAGGGACCTAGGAAGGGACAAGGCAAGTGGGTAGTGTATGGAAATTCCTTTTTGAGGAAATGGTTGTGGCATGGCTGGAAAAAGAGGGGATGTCCACTAATGTACTTGCAAGCGTGCTGGTAACAGGTGTGTGTGTTTCCTAAGCAGACATCTCCTATAATGACCCATCCTAGGTCTAACTTCCAGGCATAGGGAGTATTGTGGGGACCACTGATTTTAGCATCATGGACTTGTAACATATTTCTCCCAAGGAGTAGGGCTATCTCAGCCTGAGGATCAAGTTCTGGTATCAAGTGCGGGTGAAGAACCTCTACAACTGGCATATAAATTTCAGACCTATGATCAGAGATCTGACAGCATTCAAAAAGTGTTGGTAAGGACAGTCATGTTTGTCCATCAATAGACTTGACTACGTGGCCAGATGTTCTCCTCCTCGCCATCTCCACCATCCCTGCGCAATTTCTAAAGGAGGTGGGAACGTGTGAACCTTTAATTCCGAATATACCAAAGACGATTGAGCTAGCTAAAGACGATTTACTTTGATCATCAAAAATTGTATGAAGCTTAATGGCTTTGTTCCTTTGGCCTGCCGGGTAAACTCTGACTGGACAGATTTTGGAGCAGGGCCTACCACCTATGATTCCATTACAGATCTCTGTGCATTGTGAAGTGATCCCAGTCCATGGGGCCGGCCCTGGGTGTAAAGCTGGGTTGTGATCTGAGCCGTCACATTCTGTGCATTCTACGTTGACCTTACAGTCCTGGGCAAAGTGAGATGTTGATGAGCAGCACTTGTAGCAGATGATGTTCTCCTCCAGGAAGGCTTTGTGATCCTCCGTTGATGTTTCTCTGAAGGCTCTGCATTTTAGAAGAGGATGTGGCTTCCTGTGCAAGGTATACTACTTACCAGGATCTTTGACCTTTGTCTCTGAGTTGCAGGAGCTGGTAGACCTGTGAAAGGAATCTGGAGGAGTCACGTTAGTCTTGGGTACTGCTACTGGGGGTTTGTGAGGGTTCTGTCCTGTAGGAGCAGGACATGACATTGTGGAGGCAAAACTAGGATCAGTTCTTGTTCTATCTTGCTGGCTTACAAAGTCCACATGAACAGAGAAAGGGTTGGAAGGGACATGATGTATTTGGAGCCATGTGTGGTCCACTGCTCTTGTATGTTATAGGGTAGCTGTTGTACAATGGGCTGGACACCTCTTCTTTAAGTGTCTTCTATTGAGGCTTTCTGCATTTCCAAGGACACTTCGTATTGTACTCTCTCCATCTCCTCTTGCTGCACATTTCAGCTTCTCAGCCTCTAATTGTGCCTGTTGCTTCACCTTCTCAACCCCTAATTGTGCCTGTTCCTTGACCTTCTCGGCCTCTAATCGTGCCTGTTCCTTCACCTTCTCAGCCTCTAATCGTGCCTGTTGCTACACCTTCACAAGCTTGCCTGTGAAAAAGTCGGAAGTGACGAAACGCGTCAGAGTCGTGACGTCAGACGCTAGGCCGGAAGGTGCAGAGCGGCCATTTTGGAGAAGGTCTCAGCAGAGTACGGAGACCAGCGAGGATGGACGGCAATTTTACCATGTAAGCTGTTATTAATAAATTATGTTACCATTTATACTACTCCACTGAGTCTGCTCCCATTTGTCCTGTGAGGAACGGGGATCCCGATGCCCGTCATTGTGTGAGGAAGTTCTTATTTGTCTACTACTGTCAAGGATGATATACCCCCAGTGAAGGCAACTATATGTGGCACAAAGTTCAAGGGGGTAATTGTATTTATCCTACACGTGGAGTGGCACGTATTTGACACCATTTGTCACTGATCACTTAGTGTGTTCTGTAGACTGTCACGTTTGCAGTGGTGGTTTCACAGGACCACTAGCTAAGTGGTGTGTTGTGTGTGTTTTTTTCACTTCACATGTGTGATGTTATGTCACTAGTGTGTTGCATGCTATCACATTTATTGATTTTAAAGATAATGCACCATATCTAGTTTGTTTTTTTGAGGTACTTTTTGGATTGAAGGGAAGATTTGGACATTGTCACAGTTGGAAGATTGAAGAAGTGAGGAGTGTTATTTGCACAATTTATTATTTTATAGATTTCTGGACCTTAATTTTTGGACTTTTTTTTGGGACTTTTGATGGACATTATGTTGTTTATATGAGATTATGGTATATGTTTGTAGATTATGGAAAGGTAATTGGTTTATGCACTTTCAAGGGTGAAAGGTTGACTTTTCATGTGGGAAACTTATGAGTTTTAATTTATTATTACAACCCCTAATCGTGCCTGTTCCTTGACCTTCTCAGCCTCTAATCGTGCCTGTTCCTTCACCTTCTCAGCCTCTAATCGTGCCTGTTGCTGCACCCTTTTGGCCTCTAATCATGCCTGTTCCTTCACCTTCTCAGCTTCTAATCGTGCCTGTTGCTGCACCTTTTTGGCCTCTAATCATGCCTGTTACTACACCTTCTCAACCCCTAATCGTGCCTGTTGCTGCACCTTCTCAACCTCTAATCATGCCTGTTGCTGCAACTTTTTGGCCTCTAATCGTGCCTGTTGCTGCACCTTTTTGGCCTCTAATCGTGCCTGTTGCTCCACCTTCTTGGCCTCTAATCGTGCCTGTTGCTACACCTTCTGAACCCCTAATCTTGCCTGTTGCTGCACCTTCTCAGCCTCTAATGTTGCTGCACCTTCTCAGCCTCTAATCTTGCCTGTCGTTGCACCTTCTCAACTTCTAATCGTGCCTGTTGCTGCACCATCTCAGCCCCTAATCGTGCCTGTTGCACCATCTCAGCCCCTAATCGTGCCTGTTGCTGCACCTTCTCGGCCTCTAATCTTGCCTGTTGCTGCACCTTCTCAGCCTCTAATCATGCCTGTTGCTCCCCCTTCTCAGCCTCAAATCATGCCTGTTGCTGCTCCTTTTTGGCCTCTAATCGTGCCTGTTGCTGCACCTTCTCAGCCTCTAATCATGCCTGTTGCTGCACCTTCTCAACCTCTAATCCTGCCTGTTGCTGCACCTTCTCAGCCCCTAATCGTGCCTGTTGTTACACCTTCTCAGCCTCTAACCATGCCTATTTCTGCACCTTCTCAGCCCCTAATGTTGCCTGTTGCTGCACCTTCTCAGCCTCTAATCGTGCCTGTTGCTGCGCCTTCTCAGCCCCTAATCTTGCCTGTTGCTGCCTTCTCACCTCTTCTCAGCCCCTAATCTTGCCTGTTGCTGTACCTTCTCAGCCTCTAATCATGCCCATTGCTGCACCTTCTCAGCCCCTAATCTTGCCTGTTGCTGTACCTTCTCAGCCTCTAATCATGTTGCTGCACCTTCTCAATCTTGCCTGTTGCCTGTTCTCAGCCCTAATGTTGCCTGTTGCTGCACCTTCTCAGCCTTCAATTGTGCCTGTTGCTGCACCTTCTCAGCCCCTAATCTTGCCTGTTGCTGCGCCTTCTCAGCCCCTAATGTTGCCTGTCGCTGCACCTTCTCAGCCTCTAACCATGCCTGTTGCTGCACCTTTTTGGCCTCTAATCGTGCTCTCTCTTTTTTTCCCCCTGCCTTTCCTGCTCAGCAAAGGTTGCTCTGGCTTTTGCGGCTTCAGCTTTTACACAAGCAATAGCGAGTGCATGAATTGTGGATGAGGGTCCAGAGGAACCAAAGACTCGGGACCTCGCTGTACGGGAAGAAGCCTGACTCTGTGGAGGTGACTGTGTAGAGACCGCCGTGTTGCCGTATGACCATGTAGCAGGCCTCTGTGCAGGCACTGTGCACCCCGCTTGCTGGGTAGCCGCTCTTTCAAGAGGTCACTGCTCTGTCCTTGCTACGTTTCCTGGGTGCAGTTCGACCTGCAGCTACACCCTCCAATCCTGCAATAAGCCAGACCGAATGGAATCTTAAAGCTTTATTCATAAAATCAGGGCGGGGTGAAACCATGAAGTAAACAGATGAGAAATACATGCAATGTATGAAATATACAAAATAAAATACCGCGCTGTACCTAGGCTACAGATGGCAGAAAGTCCATGCGCACCAGCGATGCTGCCTTTAGGGGGATGCAAATTTTAGTCAGCAACATGTGCTCCAACAGCTGGTTACTTCTCTCTGTTTCTATGATGGAGTCTGAGCTCCCAGAATGCATCTTTTCTTTTCTCAGATGTGTGGCATTTTTTTAAATTCTATCTAATTAAAAAGGATCCAGCTTCTGAAAAACGTATTACTGTTACTATAAATGTATCATGATGAAGATCAGCCATGGAGTATACCTGAAGTATATCAGGGGGTGCTTCTTCCACACGAGAGCTGGGATATCCAGCAACATTCATCTAGAAGACATTTCCCGCACTCATGGCACTAATATACCTCCAGGGTTGTGTGGGACCCCTGATGTACAGGAAGACAGGACTTCACTGAGGAACATTTCCCTCACTCAGGACAGGGAAGTGGCTTCTCCACCGTGTGAGATCTCTGATGTTTGTCAAGACTGGATTTCCGTGTAAAACATTTCCCGCACTCGGGACAGGAAAGTGGCTTCTCCCCCGTGTGGGATCTCTGATGTCTGAAAAGGCTGGACTTCCGTGTAAAACATTTCCCGCACTCAGGACATGTATACGGCTTCTCCTCCGTGTGACATCTCTGATGTGTGTAAAGATAAGACTTTTGTGAAAAACATTTCCCGCACTCAGGACAGGGAAACGGCTTCTCCCCCGTATGACATCTCTGATGTTTGGAAAGGTAGGTCTTTACTGAAAAACATCTCCCACACTCAGCACAGGCATACGGCTTTTCTCCTGTGTGAGACCTCTGATGTGCGATAAGATTGTACTTCACTGAAAAAAATTTCCCGCACTCAGAACAGAAATACGGCTTCTCCCCCGTGTGCAATCTTCGATGTCTATAAAGATCGGACTTATGTGAAAAACATTTCTCGCACTCAGGGCAGGGATACGGCTTCTCCCCCGTGTGACACCTCTGGTGTATGACAAGATCTGATTTTTGTACAAACCATTTTCCACACACAAAACAGGAATGCAGATTTTCACCTGTGTGCACTCTCTGATGTCTGTAAATATGGGACTTAGCTGAAAAACATTTCCCGCACTCAGGACAGGAGTACGGCTTCTCCCCCGTGTGAGATCTCTGATGTGTGTGAAGATTGTACATCCGTGAAAAACGTTCCCCACACTCAGGACAGGAAAACGGCTTTGTCCCTGTGTGCAATCTCTGATGTGTACAAAGACTGGATTTGTGTGCAAAACATTTCCCGCACTCAGGGCAGGAATACGGCTTCTCCCCCGTGTGCAGTCTCTTATGTCTGTAAAGACTGGAATTATCTGAAAAACATTTCCCGCACTCAGGACAGGAATGTGGCTTCTCTCCTGTGTGGGATCTTTTATGCACCTTAAGTTTGAATTTACAACGGAAACATTTCCCGCACTCAGTACAGGAGAACCTCTTCTCTGTTGGAAGGGCGGCCCGTCCCGCACAGTCTGAGGTTCCTCAGGATACGAGGAATCCGATGGTCCATCTACACTGGGTGGTGCCGGATGGACATTGGAGGGAGCCGGGTTTTCTCCTGGACTATACTGTGTGATGTCCTCATCTTCTACTTTCCAGTCTAGAGACAAAGTGAGACAATCCTCAGAGGTTTTCCTCACCTCCCGGCCATGGACTAAAATACAAAGACAAAGAGGATTACTAAACAGGAGCTGATTGGTTCCCCCAAACCAGGACTCTGCCCACATCAGGCAGCTTGGTCTCTGAGAAGCTTACAAGGTGAATGGTTCCTCTTGAACTCCAGGCTCTTGTCAGACAGAGAAATCCAATCAGAACCTTATCATCTGGACCAATCAGTGAGCAGTATGGGTGGAGGAATGGATTTAGTGTTCATGACCCACCTGTGCTGATCTCTGTAGGAGTGTCCTCCTCTATAAATGTCCCCGTTATTCCATCCTCCTCCATAGACTGCTGATCATCCCTCACATACGCCTCTTCTTCTTCTGATTTTACCTCAACTTTTAGATCTGTCAGATCTTCACCCTAAACCAAGAGAAGGAGAGAAAATATAATCTTGGAAGGTCCATAGATCATCTACAAGAGCCACTTATCTACTAGATGCTCCATCCCACCTACCTGATGATGGTGAGGGATGGTGTGATCTTCTTGTGTGGAGTCCCGGGAATACAGAGGACGGGGACATCTCTCTGGTGGGTTCCTGGTATTAGATGGCTCCATCATATCTTTCTGTCCGTCTGAAAACTCCTCCATCACTCCATACTCCTCATCCTCCTCTTTATACTCTTCTTTAACAACAATATTATCATTCTCAAGGTTTCCACTCTGAAAGATGAAATAAAACATTCATTGTAATAAACATGCTGTGCATAAATCATAACTACCAATAATGGTCAAACATCTACCGGATGATGGTGAGGGATGGTGTGACCTTCCTGTGTGGAGTCCCGGGAATACAGAGAACGGGGACATCTCTCTGGTGGGTTCCCATGACTGGATCCATCTACTTGATGATGGTGAGGGATGGTGTGATCTTCCTCTGTGGAGTCCCGGGAATACAGAGAACGGGGACATCTCTCTGGTGGGTTCCCATGACTGGATCCACCTACCTGATGATGGTGAGGGATGGTGTGACCTTCCTGTGTGGAATCCCGGGAATACAGAGGATAGGGACATCTCTCTGGTGGGTTCCTGGTATTAGGTGGCTCCATCATATCCTTGTGTCCTTCTGAAAACTCCTCCATCACTCCATACTCCTCATCCTCCTCTTTATACTCTTCTTTAATACCAATATTATCATCCCCGAGGATTCCACTCTGAATATATAATAAAACATTAATTGTAACAAACATGCTGTGTATAAATCAGAACTATCAGTGATTGTTCCACACCTACCTGATGATGGTGAGGGATGGTATGGCCTTCCTGTGTGGAATTACGGGAATACAGAGGACGGGGACATCTCTCTGGTGGGTTCCCATGACTGGATCCGTCTACCTGATGATGGTGAGGGATGGTGTGACCTTCCTGTGTGGAATCCTGGGAATACAGAGGACGGGGACATCTCTCTGGTGGGCTCCCATGACTGGATCCATCTGTAGGAAACACACACACTGACTGAATCCATTGTTTCTATGTGTTTATCAGATGATGGGGGATCTAGGTGGATCCTCTGTACTGCTCTCTCCTTTCCAATAAAGTCTCCTCTTACCCGGTGATGTGAGGGGTGGCTGATTGTCCATCATGACATCCTTGTAGAGGTCCTTGTGTCCTTTCTGGTGGTCCTCCATCATGACGTCCTTGTGTCCTATCTGGTGGTCCTCCATCATGACATCCTTGTAGAGATCCTTGTGTCCTTTCTGGTGGTCCTCCATCATGACACCTTATAGGAACCTGACACACACAATGATACAGTCACCATCCAGAAACATCCCTTGGGTTGAACCTGCACAGACCTCAGGAATAGTAATAGGAGCATTATAAGTCCACCCTACTCCCCACATCTCAGATCATTGTATAATCCATTCGTATAGACCAGGCATCACTAAATGGCGGACCAAAGTCCGGATCTGGAACAGGTCGTTGTCCCGTCCGGACAACCATTTAGCAGCTGCTTTTACCCCCAACCACTTGCTGCAGTCATTACCAAAGCAAAGCGGAGAGCTGGAAGCAGAGCAGTTGTGAACAGAGAGGGGGAGCTGCTGGAGTTGACATTTCAAGTTAACCAGCCAGTGATTGGTTGCTAGGATGCCGGGCAGTTCAAGCAACCAATCATCAGGAAAAAGTTAATTCCGGCTGCAGCTCCCACCCTCTGTCCAGAGCTGTCCTGCCTCCAGCTCTCCTCTCTCCTGTACTTGTGTGCAAAGGCAGGAGAGTGAGGGGGCAGAGCTATGGGGGAGCTGTCGTGTGAAGTAGGGGGCAGATCTACAGGGGGTTGTGAAGTGGGGGCAGATCTACAGGGGGGTGTGAAGTGGCGGGCAGATCTACAGGGGGGGTGAAGTGGGGGGCAGATCTACAGGGGGGGGGGGTGAAATGGTAGGCAGATCTACAGTGGGATGTGAAATGAGGGGCAGATCTACAGGGGGTGTGAAGTGGGGTGCAGATCTACAGGGGTCTGTGAAGTGGGGGGCAGATCTACAGGGGGTGTGAAGTGGGGGGCAGATCTACAGGGGGTGTGAAGTGGGGGGGGCAGATCTACAGGGGGCTGTGAAGTGGGAACAGATCTGCAGGGGGGTGGAAGTGGGGGGCAGATCTACAGGGGGTGCAAAGTGGGGGGCAGATCTACAGGGGGGTGTGAAGTGGGGGGCGGATCTACAGGGGGGGGCAGATCTACAGGGGGGTGTGAAGTGGAGGGCAGATCTACAGGGGGGTGTGAAGTGGGGGGCAGATCTACAGGGGGGTGTGAAGTGGGGGCAGATCTACAGGGGGGTGTGAAGAACAGAGCTATGGGGGGAAGTGGAGGAGGACATTGCTGTGGAGGAGTGGTATGAAGAGGTTGACGGAGGAAATCGGTGTGGGGAGGGGTGGTTGTGATACTAGAGGGAGGAGGCTGTGATGTGAAGGACCGGAGTCATTGCACAAATATACAGTTCAGGCCTCGGCTGGAAGAAAATTTTAGTGAATGGATCTCCATGAATTTTAATTCATTACCCCGATATAGACTGAGAAGGTGATTGGAGGGAAAGGTGACATCTCCACACTGAGGAGAATGTTCCGGCCCCGGAAGTGGGGGAATGTTCTGCCCCTGAAGGGGTTAATCTGGGTTCCCACACTATATATGTGTGTATCATCATCTGCTGGAGATAAAAGACATCACAGTGACTATGGAGGAAGAGGACGAACATGACGATGGAGGAAGAGGACGAGCGTGACGGAGGAAGAGGACGGGCGTGACAGTGGAGGAAGAGGACGGGCGTGACAGTGGAGGAAGAGGACGGGCATGACGGGGGGGTGGGGGGTTACTGGTTGTAAATAGAAAATCAGATCTTATTACCTCCTCTGCTGCCACTTCCAGCAATGTCTCCTCTCTACTTCTTCTCGTCTCACCTCTCACCCGTTACTTCCTGTCTGTCCCTGACATCACTTCCTGTTTACCATGGAGACTTCCTGTCTGGGTAGAAGTGAGATCCCTACCTTGTGGAGCTCAGAGGAACTGCAGCCCCGAGAACCGTCTGGTCGTGTGACCCCGGCCTTGTGCTGGGTGTGTATGGACTGTATGCCCTCATAGAGGGGTCACCTCCACTCCCACCAAGGGGGACAGAAATATATGACTGCCTAGTCCAGCCTTTCTCAGCCAGGGGTCCTCCAAAGGGTTCTAGGGGTTCCTTCAGCAATGAACAATTTCTGGCTCTCAGGGACAATGATTTCATGATGATGTAAGAATGTCCTTCCACTGACCACTGATATAAGGGGGTCCTTCTCCCATCGGTCACCAAAGTAAGGGACCGCTACACTGACCACTGATATAAGGGGGTCCTTCTCCCATCGGTCCACCAATGTAAGGGACCGCTACACTGACCACTGATATAAGGGGGTCCTCCCCATCGGTCACCAATGTAAGGGACCGCTACACTGACCACTGATATAAGGGGGTCCTTCTCCCATCGGGCACCAATGTAAGGGACCGCTACACTGACCACTGATATAAGGGGGTCCTTCTCCCATCGGGCACCAATGTAAGGGACCGCTACACTGACCACTGATATAAGGGGGTCCTTCTCCCATCGGGCACCAATGTAAGGGACCGCTACACTGACCACTGATATAAGGGGGTCCTTCTCCCATCGGTCACCAATGTAAGGGACCGCTACACTGACCACTGATATAAGGGGGTCCTTCTCCCATCGGTCACCAATGTAATGGACCACTACACTGACCACTGATATAAGGGGGGATATAAGGGGGAGCCTTCTCCCATCGGTCACCAATGTAAGGGACCTCTACACTGACCACTGATATAAGGGGGTCCTTCTCCCATCGGTCACCAATGTAATGGACCACTACACTGACCACTGATATAAGGGGGGCCTTCTCCCATCGGTCACCAATCTAAGGGACCTCTACACTGACCACTGATATAAGGGGGTCCTTCTCCCATCGGTCACCAATGTAAGGGAGCAATAAAGATACCACTTGGACTGAGCCTATATTTAGACAGGATTTGGTTTGTATGGGGGGTGGGAGGGGTTGGAGAATGGCTGATGAGTGAATGTAATAAAAATATATGATGCTCCAAGAAGTTCACATTTGGTCTTTCAGGTATTGATTTTAGTGGTGAAGCCTACAAACAACAAAAACTGTGGGGTTCCTGCCAAGACCATACCAGACCCTCATCCCACAATGCACCCTGGCTGTTGAGGGAAGGGTTGGGAGTGAGCATGTCCCCTCATGAACCATACCAGACCACATATCCCACCAGAAGGAGAGGACCTTGCCAAGTCCATTCACTCCTGGTTGGAAGGCTGGACAAATCCAATGTATGAGCCGGTATCGGGAACACAAGGAATCTGTACAACATGAGGCATCGGGAAATGTCTATCTGTCTGCAGGACACCGGGGAGATACTGGAACTCTAATTCATGGTCACCTGTGGACAGTCTCATTGCCCCGGGTTGGGTTGGGTTTGATGTGTTGAACCCGATCCCCGTAGAGATCAGTGGGAGGCGAATCTGTCAAGTCACAAATGAACACTTTCTAGGCCAATAGGCAAGGAAGGGGGGGGTGATGGGGGGGGGGGGGGGGGCTGCCCTGGGGTACATTGGCCAATCCTAAAAATATGGTTGTAAAATTCCAGAAGCAACATTTTTTTTTTGTTTTTCGCACTGACACTGATAGGCCCGAAAAGGGCATTTTAGACAGAGCAGCCAATTCCGGGGGGGGGATTATTTGCATTCGCGGGGGCAGTTGGCGATGGAATGTTCACGGAGTCGGTCCTCCGCTCTGTAATATAAAGGGGACTGCACTGTAGAGGGGCACTGTATTGATTACAGTGCAGTCCCCTTTATATCACCGTGCCGCTAGAGATCTAATCACAGTGCCCCCTATATATTCAAATAGATGGCCCAATCCAGCAAACAGACATCATCATATAGCAAAGAGACAGCCCAGTCCAGCAAAGAGACAGCCCTATAAAGCAAAGAGACATCCCAATCCACAAAGAGACAGGATGTCTCTTTGCTGGACTGGGCTGTCTCTTTGCTGGATTGGGATGTCTCTTTGCTGGACTCAACTGGGCAAACAGACAGCCTAATCCAGAAAAGAAACATTGCCGTCCAGCAAAGAGACATCGCTGTGCAGCAAAGAGACAGCCTGCCCAGTAAAGAAACATCCTGCCTAGCAAAGAGACATCCTGCCTAGCAAAGAGACAGCTTGTCCAGCAAAGAGGCAGCTATTCAGCAAATAGTTCAGCCAGCAAAGAGACAGCTCGGCCAGCAGAGACAGCCTGCCAAGCAAAGAGACATCCTGCCCAGTAAAGAAATAGCCTGCCTAGCAAAGAGACATCCTGCCTAGCAAAGAGACAGCTCGTCCAGCAAAGAGACAGCTCGTCCAGCAAAGAGATAGCCCAGTCCAGCAAAGAGACAGCCTCGCCCAGAAAACAGACAACCCAGTCCAGCAAAGAGGCAGCCATCCAGCAAAGAGACAGCCCCATCCAGCAAAGAGACAGCCCATCCAGCAAAGAGACAGCCCGTCCAGCAAAGAGACAGCTCATCCAGCAAAGAGACAGCTCATCCAGCAAAGAGACAGCCCCATCTAACAAAGAGACAGCTGGTCCAGCAAAGAGACAGCCTTCTAGCAAAGAGATAGCCCCATCCAGCAAAGAGACAGCTCATCCAGCAAAGAGACAGTCCCATCCAGCAAAGAGACAGCTAATCCAGCAAAGAGACAGATCATCCAGCAAAGAGACAGCCGTCCAGCAAAAAGACAGCTCATCCAGCATAGAGAGCTCAACCAGCAAGAAGACAGCCATCCAGCAAAGAGACAGCCCGTCCAGCAAACAG